CACTAATAGCAATAATAATCATAATAACAACAACAATAATAATAATAATAATAATAATAATAATAATAATAATAATAATAATAATAATAATAATAACCAAAACAATAATAATATTAGTAGTAATTGTAGTAATAACTATAATAATAAAAAAATATTAATAACAATAACAACAATAATAATAATAATAATAACAAATAATGATGATGATGATGATGATGATGATACTAATACTAAATAAATAATACTAAAAAAATAATAACAATAATTATAACAATAATCATAGTAATAATTACAACAATAATTATCATTATTATAATAATCATTATGGAAATAATAATGATATTAATATTATAACAATAACAATAATAATAACAATAATAATAGTAATACTAATAACAATAATAATAATAATAATAATAATAATAATAATAATAATAATAATAATAATAATAATAATAATAATAATATAATAATATATAATAATAATGATAATGATAATGATAATGATAATGATAATGATAATGATAATGATAATAATAATAACAATAACAATAATATTAAAAATAATAATAATAAAAATAACAATATATTAACTCAAAAAGTTACTTTTCATACTCTATCTTTCAAATTATTATAATTAATGCACTGAGGAGCACATTTTTATGTATTAGGGATAAAAATACTAACTGGAATTAGATAGTAGATGTATAAATATTGTCATTACCTTTTGATAATCTGTTATTATAACTGCATATTAAACATCACACAGCCACATTTAGATCCTACTCAGCTCATGCATACAAACCTTCCAGCAATACAACCAGTGCTACATCTTGGCTATTATCCTACATTATAACATTCACATATCCAACCTCAAGATGAATAACGTGGCACTTCAATATTCCATATCAATTATCCTATCATCTACACTAATCAATTCATGTCAGCCACAGGCACTCTCACTCTCTTGTATGTATGTGTACTTGTCTGCATATCTATTCATATCTCTCTCTTCCGTACGTTGCCAATATAGAAGGCTGAGCTTTGTAATTAATTAGGAAACAGGAAATTCTTTTATCTCTAATGATAATACCAGGAGAGGAGCCAAGACTTACTGAACAAACTGAAGCTGCCTAAAATAACATTAAATAATACAATTTACAAATCTGCTTTTCACAGTGGTGTAAAATGCCTCAAAAAACACTGTTCTCCCTTCAAACATAAACAGTTTGTATAGCCCAAGGGTATAATAAATGCTTTATGTCACTTACTGGGTCACACAAATAATCCATGGCATTAAGCAAATTCTCAAATGTTATAATGACTAAGCTGAAGTCCATACAAGCTGCATATACATGCATAAGCTAGTCATAGCAAGTTCATGGTTCTTTGCAATTATTCAGCACAATTTATCTTGGTTTCTGTTTACCCCACATTACACATATAAAACTCATCATATTTTCTAAACTTCACATTCTACATGAAAATAAAATCTAAAAACAATCATCAGAAACATACAAGTCCAGTGTATAAATAATAAAGTCATGCTTCTATCATATTACATCCATAAATTAGTTTGACCTTCAGATACACTCATCATAAAACCACTTACTTCACATGACATTAATATCTTATAATTTATTTCTTATGATTCAGATTATCTTAGTTATTACACAGAAGAATGGAAAAACTTGATGAGACCATTATAAAGACCATTGGAAAGTTATTGTATTATGTCTAAAACATCAGACAACATTACCAAGTAATGTGTTATGTTGAAAAAATGAACAGAAATATCTGTCAGCTCTTCCCCATCGTCCTTCAACATGTCATTTACCCGAAAAAAAATGCAAATGAGAAAAGAATTATTAAATCCAAACACCAATCGCTAAAAATTCAAAATAAGTAACAAAATCTAAACAGCATCAGATTGACAACTGCCGCGCCACGTCCCTCCTTTGTTGCCACGAGGAAAAAAAATAGTCGTTGAAGGAAGCAGAGAACGGCTGACAGACAGACGATAAAAAAAACTATTTGCGAGAACGGGTTTGGTGTCCCTGGGCGCCCGCGGAGGCGAGGCAGCCCACGAAGGAGGCGCCCTCTCCCACTCTTTCAGTCCTTTAAGGAATGCTTCATAGGCTTTCGAGTCATCATACCGTCTTCTGATCCTCAGGCACCCTGGGAGGCGTGTCTTGTGGCATGCGCGAGTGCATGACAGCGCCGCCCAACAGGAGCGAGCAATCCACTTTGTTTCCCTCGGGGACAGCGCTGGGCACGGGGTGTCCTCCCAGCGAGATCCCGAGGGAAGAGTGACTCAAATACGTCTTTCCTTTCGGTTAGTTCTCCGGTAAGGGCTTCCCCAGCACCGGAGTACACTTCCCCAGCTACATACCTCGTCTCCACTAAGAGGGCGACTTGGTATCCTCGGCAGGGCGCCCAAACGAGAGAACACCGCAACGTCGCCTGCCTCTCGCGCACTCGGGCCGCAGCACCTCGGACG